GCCTCACATTACTACCCCAGCCGAGACTCAGTCGTGCCTCATGCGCCGCAGACTACGTCTTGACCGCATATTCAGCTGCTCCACGTAAATTAAATACGTGGCAACGAAATGGGGCAATTTTAATAGTGGCAGGATGCCTTAAAAGTCATGGCAACGTTTTCTGCCGGGAAGAAATTGGGCTTTCTTGGCCAAGTTGCACCTTGGGGATACATGTTCAGATTGTGGTAAACGCGCCGGCGTGACAGCGAACCTCACCCAGCCAACCTTTGCACCAGATGCCTAGATTTTACTGTTTCTCCATCCATTGGCACTCTTGCCTTCTCCCATCTTCCCCTCATATCCAACCAGTGTCCTTGCCTGCTGGAGATCTTGTGCAAGACCACCTAGATGGACCACGTCGGCAGCAACCATGATGAGGCTCATACGCTTCCCAGCCGCCTTCAGCTTTTCGGGACTGCCGAGAGGAGCAGATCCAAACGCAAAGCCGGCGTACGGTTTATCATGCTTGTCAATCGTGTCAAAGAACAGTTGGGATATCTCCAGCCATTCTGGCTCTGTGGCACCGACACCACCCCACTTGGCTTCAAGATTCATGCTGACGCGTGCATCAAGTGTCCCAAACCATACGATATCAATGTCGGGACATTCTGTGAGAATCGCGTCGAGATTACGAACCCCCTGAGCTGATTCAATTTGTATCATGATGGCAGCCTGGTCGTTGAGACACTTGTGCAGGTCGCGCGAAGTGTCATTCGGGGCATCGGTGAACCCAGGAACAAGACGGAAGGGAGGCAAGGATCGAGTCCCGTTGTGGTTCGTTCCAAACTTTGCAGCCGAAATGACGTGTTTTGCCTGCTCGACGTTTTCGACTTGTGGGATTACAAGACTCGAACCACAATCAAGTGCATGACCAATGGCGCCGTGATCATGACTAGGGACACTGCAAAATCCGGATGAGAGACAGTATCATAGATATTGGGGCGTTGAACTTACCGGACGAATGGGATAGTCCGACCGCCACTCATGAAAACGGTCTCATGAACCATCTAGTCATGTCAGTTGAACTCCTCACAGCATGTAGACACTTGACTTACAGTAGTCATTGTCTCTACGTTACAAGATGTGTGCTCCCAATCAATCCAGCAAGCATCAAATCCCATGGGCGCGACGTAACGCGTAATTGGGACGGAACTGAGCCCTGCATAATAGCAGATAATGGGTGGGATCTTCTTATCGTGGGCATCTCGGATGGCCTGACGAGCTTTGTGAGGCTGGAAGAGAGACGGGGCAGCGTACGCCATCATCCCCTTTGAGGAGACGTTCTTGTACTCTTCGCCGTTTTTGGACATTTTGGTGAAGTTACGTCGCTGGAAACGTTGAGTAGGTATAGATGAAAATAGTTCGAGGGACCAAGTTGAAAGAGGCTGTGTTTGGAGAAATGGGGCAGTTGAATGTCAGAATCGTCCACATCAGGGTTCAATTTATATACAATTACTTTCATTTTATCATTTACAGTGCCGATGATGACTGTCAACTAGCGGCTGACTCCATATGCAAGCTTCGTGTAGACAAGTATGCACGTCTCGTGTGGACATGCAACCTTCGTATAGCTTCATCTGCGCCTCTTGGCCAAAGGATCTTGGGGCCGACCGTGTAACCTCAATCTCAGGCACCAATGGAGCATCTGCTGCATCTCAGACTTAGTAAGTCCGAAATACCGTAGATGTCTGATGTAGACTTCATGGCGTTGAAAGGTGCCGAGGTCCTCAAAGCTAATTGACAACTCGTGAGAACTAGTAACCCGAGGCAAAAACACCAAATTTGGTTAGTTCACTCACATTCAGCACGTAGTCGGCGTACTTTCACAGAAAATCTTTCAAGCATATTCGCTTGGACAGCTTTGCGACGGCCCGGTCGCCGATGTGTGCGCGCGGCTAACACGGACTCAGATAAAACGTAAGCCGTCCATCGTCGGTCCCTAGATACGCTTGTTTCAATCGCTGGAAGGAAAGGTAGCTCCGGCCGATCGTATCTTGAATTACTGAATACTGAGATGAGGTTCCGAGGACGCTGTCTCACACCTGACCAAACGCGATACGTTCGATGAGAAAACTCAACAATTTTAAGGAAACTTACTACGACCGATTGAGTTCTTGAATTTGAGACGTGATTCGATGCTCCCGACTCCCAATCACAATACTAATTTTACTGTGCCTGGATGAACCAATCCTGCCTTGATACTTGAGCGGGATATTTGTTGAGATATGTGCATTTCAATCGCAGTACTTGCACGCGCCTATTTGATTCGGAAGGACCAATACCAGCGCGTGCGCGTCTGCAAAGGCCAAAGCCACATGGGTCTCAAAAGTGATCGCCATTTATCTAGTGGCACATTTGTTAGCTCCGTGGCTGAGACGGGAATCGGTCCTGGCTCCAAGACTCCTTGTGCTGTTCCAGTGCCTATCTTCTGTGATATTTGGTCCCGTCGGAGACGATGCCTGTTTCGGTACAGCTCATCGGACTTTGGTGATGGGCGAAGTTCCAACTCACGACTGTTTCCAAAGCGGGGGCCTTGGCCGGGGTGCTAGTAGAGGGGGGTTACATCACAGCCTCTCTCGAACCTTGCATTTTCTCTTCGCGGAACGATCATTGCTTTTTCCTGGTGCTAGTTCTGTTGGACCTCCTGATTTCCGGCGTTATGTCCTGCCGAACCTCCAACATGCTGTCGGGGTTGGGCCTTGTTCGCAGTGTTGGCAATAACATCATTGGGCACGCTGACAGGGGCTCAAGGTGTGGCATCTGTTGGTTCGCTGACTGACTGCTCCTGCATACTCTTGTCATCGTAAGCAGCCCTTGTTAATGATGGATGTACGTGACATACTGGTTGAGTTGTAAGGTTTCTGTAAGCCATTTGTTTAACCAAATCGATTGCCACTCGCTCGCAGACAACGTCCGTCGAGACCCGAATAAATCGCCAGGCCGTACGGCGAGTAAGACAGGGTTGTTTGCCTGCTTCCACTTGCGGAAGAAGCTGCATTACGATTGTGGAGTTGTTGGAACCGGGGTCTTTCACGCCTGTTGGTCTTATCGCTCGTTGGTGATCTTCGAATTCCAGTCAGTGTCGCTTGAATCCTCTGGGGCTGGGACTGACACCACCGCATATCCCCTTGATCGAAGATCGGCTGTCCAAGACAAACACGCCAAATCATGCGAGGCGACCATCGTTTGATAAGGCGGTTGGCCGTTTCTCCCCGATCGAAAAAATTGTCGTAAATGCTTTGAAGCTCTCTTTCCGCCTTTCGTTGACAATGGATCGCGATCGATCGGCACAGACTTGCACCATGGTGGAACAGAAGATGACAATTTCGCTTTGGTTGTTTGTGATTCTCGGTCAGGGTACCAACAAGATCGATCCGGCGTGCCATCGGGGCAAATACCGATAACTGAGGGCGGTTGGAAGGTGTTTGCAACACTCATGCAGGGGCAAGATGTGATTGAACTGACGGCAACCGGGCTGTTGGGCCGCCTCCGATGGAGAGCCCCATCCCATCTTGGCATATAAGTTGTGTCAAATACAGCTTCCTCGTCCGCTTCCAACCCGATCGCAAAGAGCTGAAGTTTTCTCATCTTAGCCTAGCCGTTCTTGAAGAAACCTGTAGTTCATTGGGACAGCTTCAGTCATCCAGGACCTCTTTCCAAGCCAGCCATCTCAATAGCAGTCCTCGAAAGCTGCATACATGGATAATTATTCAGTACGACAGGGCCCGGCAATCGAGCCAAGGCCGACCAGCCCGCCTCAAGCATCACTGGAATGGAATCTCCAGCCTGACACTCAGTCACCAGCCTTCGATCTAGCTTCATCAATGGCTGGGTTGACTATGGGACCTGACTTGAGCCTGAATGAGAACATGAAAGCATTGTTCCTGGCCAGAGTGATGGAGAAGGCCCGGAAGCTCATCTTGCGGCGCGTTAAAGAAAAGAAGGGCGCCGACGACGCGGAACTCGACGACTTCAAACTCGACGTTGAACATTGCCAGCGATGTTATCACTCAATTTTCCACAATCTGCCAGGTTCCTTCGATACTCGGAACAACGACAATACTCTTGCAGTCTTTGACCGCCAGAAATTGCACGCTGCGATCCAGGAGGCACTCAAAGACGTCAGCGACCAGGTATTCCTTCTTGCAAAAACGCCAAGGCGTACACCTTATTCGGAATTGAACCTCGCACACAGATACGGGGGCCTGATCGTCACGCCTGCTGTGTGCTTGGAGGTCATGGACCGCGAATATCAACGTCGCATGTATAGCGACGTCGAGCCGGTGAACTTTGACGAGCTCCGCGTCTTTTGGCTGCAGATTGCGCAGAATCCGCAGGATGTGATGAGGATCAGGAAGGTGGTGCGTCGTGCGAAGTTGGTGTGCAAGAAGTGGGATGACGGGCCCTATTCAGACTTTTCCTCGGTGCTTTGGCGTGCTTTGTGGTTTGCCAAAAGGGAACAGGTTCCAATCTTGTAGCTAGGTTGCAATGGGCTTTGGCGTCTTTCATTCCCTGAGAAAAATGCTCATCAAGAGCAGGGACGAGATGAAGAGGACATGGACGGATTGCAGGCTCATCCCAGCTACGACCATCACGGCCATGACCAGAGAACAGCCCCATGAGATGAGGCGGCGGTGCGGTCTTGACCTTTTGGCGAGAATGACGAAGTCGGTTGGGTGATTGGTGGCGTTGGAGTCTGTCGCGTTTTTGGGGCGGTCGATCCGCCTCTTTGGATGGCTTTGGGGTGTGAGAATTGCGGGTAGTCTTTCGGTCACGGGAATACAATTGGCGAGGTTGTGTCAAATGATCTTAATCGCGATCAACAGTGCAGAATTGAAGAAAAAATGAATCCCTCCACCCATAGCACGGTGGCATGATGGTGAATAGAATATTCTCATTAGGCACACAAAAGACGTATTTGCATAATGCCATATCCAGAAGCAAGTCCTTCACCGGGCTGGTCAGATGTCCGTAGCAGCCGTGCCGATGTAGAGATCTCTATACTGCGCCAGTTTCCCCCCTAGGTCTGTCAAAGCGAGCTTGACATCCTCGTTTTGTTCCCGCAATATCTCGATGATGGAGCCTAGACGGAGGCGTGCCTCTTTGCGGGCTTTTCCTTCCTCTAAACTAGCCCTGAGGCCAGCAACCTTTTCTCGCAGAGGGGAGAGATTTTGTGTCTCCGACTCGCAGCCAGGAAGTTGGCTGAGTTCGAGACGGAGCTCTAGCTGCCGTTCATGATTGTTGAGGTCTTGCTCCAACCTCTCCAACTCCGCATTGGCCTTGATTGTAGGATCGGCTACCGTATCGTCGGGCTCCTGCATGAGCGCTGAAAAAACTGTCTCCATCTCTTCGAGTTGCTTCATTTGGGCTATGCTGGCAGACAAGGTGGCGATTCTGCCTTCGAAATGTGTCGACCACGTCTTGCGCAGTTCGTGGAACGTGGCAATGTCATCCCCGGCTATTGGCTGAGTAGTCGGCACGTCGTCAAAAACGGGGAGATTCAGGAACTCGGCAAACGCGCCCTTTTCGGCAGGCTGCTCATCAGCGAAGAGCAAGAAAGCTTTGCGCCACGGGTCGGCTGCGAGGGTACTGGGCGGTGTCTGTCCCGCGAGTATATAAATGGCGTTGGCAGCGACGAATACGCTGCTGTTGCGCTCGTCGTCTTGTTCGGCGCAAGAAACTTCTGCAATCTGCCAGGAGCTTGAAGAGCGACCAAGATAGTTGCGAGCGAAACGGGAAAAGATCTCGCCAGCTTTCGTCCGGTTATCCAGGGAGGGCATGGAATCGAGAAGGTCCACACGGTGTGTCTCGGGATGTACCTTGACAAGCACCCAGTGGCCACGAAGATGCATTGGTAAGAGCAGAATGTCAGGGTGCTTCTCAGACAGCATGGTCTTGAGCTCGCGAACGGTAGGCGTGTTCGACGCGGCCAAGATCAGAGGGTGGATGACCACAGTCAGACCGTCTCGCCTGGTGGAACACGTCGCAAGCGCAGAGATGAGGCGATACATTATATCCTCGTCCTGCTGCTTGTCGGGTGCCAGGCCATCGGCAAGCCAGTTGGAACTTTTCGTGGGCTCATTCTCGGCCTCTGCCGTTGCGCCGCTCGTTTTGGATGGGGTCGGACGGCCATTTTGGCCCGTATCTGGCGTGCCTTCCAAACCGACTTTCGTGGACGAGACTGAAGAAAGAGGGGAGGAGTTTGCGACAGGGCTCGCTTCCTTGTTGAGGGATCGGCGGGAGGATCGCGTAGGCTTTCCAGCAGAGGGCTCGGATCGTTTCGCAGGAGGGAGCTCGAGGTCGGCGGTCCCAGAAGACCGCTTCCGGGTCGATGACAACGACGGTTGGTTGCTGGAGTTGGTGGCCGAGGTGGAGAGTTCAGTCGTGGTTGTCTGAGACGTGTGCTTAACCATCCGGACTGTCTTTGCATCGCGACGAGACGAGGCGGATCCATATACTCGTAATGCTCCCCTGGTGGCAGCTGTCTTCCGCGAGGGTTCGGGTGTTGCCGCGGTTGGGTTGGCTTCGTTGGCCTGTTCGAGGTTTGAATCGGCATCGCTGGAGCTGGAGCTGGGACTAGCTGGCGGCTGCGGAAAAAACCAATCATTAGCATGATGACGGTAGGGAGGGGGATGTAATTGACGAGGGTCGCTCGCCCTTTCGAGCAACATACCATCACAGCCGAAGAACGAGATGATCTGGTGCCTACTGTGCCATTGGAGGTGCGGCGCGATGCATCTATCTGGGCAATTGCAGCTTTGACATCGTCCGCGACCCAAGGAGGTGGGGATGACAACGGCCCGAGGCCAGCTTTTTCCAAGCGGCTAGTTATCGCCTCGTCCAGGGAATGCTTTGCCGTGTTCCATGGCACTCGTGCGCGAAGATCGCGTAGCGCGGAGAGGAATTTGGCAGTGAGGGTCTCGGTGCCGAAGAAGGCGAGGAAGTTGGCGAGGGAAACCTCCCACTTCTTGCACAGCGATTCGACCTCCCTGCGGTTGCGCTCCGAAGGGATGTCCTTGAGGGACGGCTTGGTGGCAGTGTCGCCAGGCTGCGCATTGCCTAGAGACTGGCGAGTAGACGGCATGGTACCGTTGGCGGGCTTTGCGTGACCATGATGGTGTCGAGGCAAGATTCGGTGCCGGTCGCGATGTGCGAAGACGAGACCCAGGCAGGCAGGCAGACCTTCGGTGGGCGTGTTTGCCGTAAGGTACAGGTAGGTTGCTCCCCGCAACCAGGATGTTTGCGAGCTTTGCAGCAGCCGTTCCAGCTTGCGGAAAGCTCCCTGGCAAACCCGACCTCCACCGGCAAGAAGGGCAGGGGTCATCGTTGTTCCCCCCGACCAACAGCGACCTGAGAGGGCGGGGCTGTTTAATTGGTTGGTGTCGCTGCGGTAGCGTCCAGCGCGGGATGTGACGCCCAGCAAACCCTTTTGATTGACATGGATATCGTTTGATGATCGACCACTGATGGAGTTTCCCAACATCCTTTTTCAATTTACATCAATAGGTGCCTTTGAGCTCTACTGCAAACAGAAAAGCCAGCGAACCCAATCCACCACCCACGCCGTATCCCTATGACCGCTGGACACCTGGCAACCTGCCTTCTTGGTCCGGTCTACGCTGGTCCCTTTCGACAGCCGCAGAGAATGCCATGGCGTACTGCTCGCGCGTCATGCGTCCTGGGACGTCGCAGTAGTCGGTGAAGTCATGGGCGCCGTACCACCGAGTAATCTCGTTGACGAACAGCGGTCCTCCGTAGTGCCTTGCAGCGACGTCGAGACGGCATCCAATATCCAACGACACAAGCTGGGGACTGTTCAGCTGTCGGAGGGATTCAAACACGCCAAGCGCATATTCCATGACTTGTTTACCCGTGAATCCTCTCCGCTTGAAAGATGCCTCTGGCGGCCAACTGGCAGCGATCTGGCTGTCAGGAAAGGTTTTCGTGAGGCAGATTTTGTGCACCTGGCCTTTGAGGCCGCGAACGGCCTCAGGATCAGGTTTTGTAACGATGAAGACGCGAAACTCCCCATGGGAAAGAAAGTCGACGAATTCTTGGTGGAACCACGACTCTTTGCACGCTTCATCGACAGGCCGAGGACCACGCACAGGATCGACGCAAGTCAGGCGCGGACGTACATTCGTCCCTGCATGCAAGGAGCAGCCACTCCACGAGCGCTTGTTGAAGGCTTGAACCCCTGATAGAGCACATGTGCCGTTTCCGAAGCAAGTCACAGGGCGCCAGTCTCGTCTTTTCGCAGCGACCGCGTCGAGAATCCGAATGTCTGGAAGTTTGTGCCCGTCTGCCTGGGCTTCTTCGCGGGTCGGATATACCATCAAGGCCCCGGCATCTGGATTCCTGCTGATATAGCCTTCGACGTCGTTGTAGCGGCCCCTGATGATGTCTCGAAATGGGAAGCCCGTATCCAACAGGACCACCACAAGACGACTGCGATGACTGAGTTTGAGATGTCGGTGAAGATCGTTTGCGCGGAGATGTTCCTCAACACGATCCCAGGTCATGATGGTAGATCTCTGCGAGCCGCAGTGATGAACTCCTGCCGAGGCGACAAGAAAGGTCTGAGCAACGCTCATTTTGCCATTCGCGACGTGAACAAGACTAGGAAAAAGGTCGCAGAGATAGCACGCCTCCTCATGTGAGGCCGGCAGCCATGGCGCGGCATCGGTCTGCGTGTCGTCCAAGTCGAACGTCACGGTCGCATACGGACTGAAGTTTGGGTTGAACACTGCACTGTCGCCCTCGTATGAACCGTCTGCCATTGGGCACTAGAGAATGAATGATTGTTCAACGGGGGACGGCGTCTGTCTTGGCGATTCCATCGATGCGTGCGTATGACGGGCTGGGATGACTGGGGATGTGGTCGGAGCCGAAGGCTTGGAAGTGGGCGAGGTGGGATGCTTTGATATCTTATCAAGCACTTCAACACATGGTTCTGCCTCTTGGAATGTCGAGGCAGTCTCTGAGTCTCCGTTGCGGGAAGCTGGGTTCATCCGCGGGCGATGTTCCTTATCTTGAACCACCGAGAGGGGTTCAATGCGACGTGGGCCGATGTCCCCGCGCATTTTCAGCTCTGGTGCTTGGCAAACGGTGGGAAGTTGGTCAACGAGGCGATCGAGTGCCTTGACACTGTGCGCGCGTTTAAACGCTCTGTTGGGACGTCCGGTCAGCAAATTCCAAAGCTTGTGTTGGCAAGACTCACTTGGAAGCAGGGGTTGGAACGACGAAGGGAGGACAGATCCGAGGAGTCGCTCGGCTCAAAGCTAAAGCTGACAGGTTTGCCAGGTTCCAACAACCAGAATATCTTCGCGGAAGCGATAGGACGAGTGTTTCATTAGGTCAGTTGCTGCAAGGTTGTTGGCGCGGGTTGGGTGCCGGCGGAGACTCGGGGCGAGAGTGGCAAGAGACGGGACCTGTTCGTAGGCGGTCTGAGGAAAGTATAATGCAAGGGAACAATAGTCTGAGAAACAAATTCAGGGACTAGGGTGAAAGAATTTGTGAAATATCCATGGGAGGTTCGAGAATCAAGAATCGCTCTTTGGGAAGGTAGGTCATTTGGTTCCAGGCACTTTGCTTGGGCTGAGGTGTAATCTAGACCAAACAAATCTTGCGCAGCGTTGATCCACGTCCCGTTAATGGTTTTCTTCATTTTTATGAATCTTCACATAGGATTCTGCGTGGTCTTTGAATATCCTTTGGTCTCTGGAGAGATTCAGAATCACACGCTGGCCTTGGGCAGTCATTCTCCCAGAGAAGACGGTCAACGGCCCCCCCCTTCAATCTAGAACCAACCCACCACGCCGACATGCCACTGCCGACGTTGATATGGCTCCTCAAGGCTAGTGACCTTACGGGCGGCTTCTAGTGTTTCTAGTATTAGGATTGAAAGAAGATATTTTGAGACTTTTGTTGGGGTTCCTTGTCTCCAACGGAAGGATTGCTTTCAACCGAGACCGCCCACGTTTCCTACGTTTGCGCGGCTGCACATCCTGTGTACTCGATAGAATTCGGATTCTGTTTCAACTGGTTCACGTTCTTTTTCGAGCCATCTTGCCCAGTACAACTCGATCTAGGCCTGGCACTGGATGAAATTGAGGTCGTGGAGGTGTGCCATAGCTCAGCGCAGCTGCCGAGGACCCACACTTTCGCGCAGCTGCCTTCACCACGACGCCTTCTTCGCCCACGGGCTACCACACCAAGCCAGTCTCAACCGGCACCCCTACTCATTGGCACCCAGGCAGAAATGCCTCTGACTCATTGAATTTCATCCTCCGCTGGTATCTCTGCTGTCGTCTGACTGCTGCAAGGGAAGCCTGCACCCGGCATCGCAAGACGCTCCCAAACAGAATTCCCAGCTCCTCCTTCACCAAAGGCGAGGCGCAGTACCCTTTACAATCGCGAGATGGCTAAACAAAAGACGAAGACAGGTAAGTCCTCCCCAAGAGACCTCTTCGCACCCGTCCCCTCCGTTGCTGTCTTGAGATCTGACCGTCTACCTCCAGCGGCTCGCTCGTCCAAGCTCGGCGTCATCCTCTCCCACAAATCGACAACCAAAGCCTCCAGCTATGTCGACACCTTCGACCTCCGTGTCCTCCCCGCCAACCCGCCGTACCCCGCCTTCTGGATCAGCGAGTCCAAAGCCCAACTCATCGACCCCGATGCCGTCTGCTACTTTTAGGATAAGTGCGCCGGCGGCCGCCAGCGTCACATGGCTCATCCCGACCGCTGGGTGCCTCTGAGAATACTTGCCGCGCGGAAAGGCACCGATAAGAGAGGCACATTTGTCGTACAGTACGAGACGCGGTTTGTGGGACGCACTGAGGCAGCCTGGGTTGCCGCCACCAAAGTGGGCAGAGTGTTGGTTGCCGAGTTTTGGGAGTCGTACAAAGCGCACAGCGGCCGCTCCCAGGAAGAATGGCTGGAAGGCCGCAAGCTGTCGAGAAGTATGAGTGGTTCCTTTGGGAGTGAGAAGAACTGCAAGTCGCTGGAAGACAAGGGATCAGCCAGACCGAACCGCAAGAAGCGGGCTGGCAGGAAGCACGAAGAGAACGAGGATGATCTTCCAGAGTGGTTCCCTGCCCTGACGCACCACTGAGGGACTATTTATGAGCGTCTGAGAGCGTACCACAATGTGCATTCCAGTCGCTGCGCCAGTCGACACATTGTCCACGAGACCCGACTCAAAATGGCAGCGAGCGTGCGACCCAGACATCTCTCAGGGAGAATGGAAGATTGGTCATTGGTGTGTTCCGGGTTTGTGGAATCTTGGGGAGATTCCGAACCGCAAGCTTTGGGCAATACAAGTGATAACGCGAATAGCACGAGGTCTAGTCGTGGTTATATTCTGATGCTACCATTCGTCATGACGGCGCCTGAACGGATGAGAATGTACTGCATGCTGGCCTCAATTCTACGTAGTACTTGTAGGCCACCCCGGACTACCATAATGCAAACCAAAGACCAGAGCCGTAAGATCTCATCAATGTCCCTCGGGCTGCAGGAACCGTGTGAGCTGTGTGAGCTGTGTAGTTCTTGGAATGGCCAGCCTTTTGAGATCAAACTCCTCTATTCCAGACTTCCACCATGCGACAATGCAAACCATGACATCTGGAGCCCGTGGATCATGCAGTCCAATGCCCCCATCGTCGGCTTTAGAAACCGCCTCGCGGATCGCCTCGCGGAAGATTTCCTCCCGACAGAAATTAGAGTCGAATATTTCCTGTGGATATTTGTCTGCGAGGTCTTCGTGGCAGATCTTTCTGATTGCGTGTGCGACCTACGCTCCGCAACTAGCAGCATTAGGGCTCTGAGTAACATCCTGATCGTTGTTACTGGGGTTAGCCTGCTGCCTTGCACAACTACTAACGTAGAGGGGGAAAGCTTTTGGCTTACCCACTGGTCGAATCTGAACGTTTCTATGCCGAAGTGATTTTCGAAAGCCAGGGGGGCATTGCATTTGATTATATTGCCGCGTGCTGAATCCGTATCCTTGTTTCTGAAAGGATCGAGGTGTTTGACCGAGCGTCCTATTCCGACCCCTGTGGAACCATCGTGAACCATCAGAAG